TCTTCGCTAAGCTTATATTATTAAATTAGCACAAATAAAGTTCTACTTAGAAAAAAAGAAGTCTTCAGCTGAGCTGTAAGGATGCTTTCAAAGTCCTCTGATTAAAACAAGGAAAAGATGGTAGGCACATTCTAGTAAAAATTTAGGGCTCACAAAAACTTGCACTACAACGACCATATTTAACTGCGTGTGATGGTACATGCCTATAATCCAGCACTTAGCAGGCTGAGGCAGAAGGATCCCAAGTTCAAGGCCAGCTTGGACTACAAAGTGAAACTCTCTCTTAAAAAAACAAGAACAAAAATAAACAAAACAAAAAACAAGTTCACAGGGGAATAATTGGGCACTCAAAAACTTACGCAGCTCTGTAATCAGAATATTAAAAGAAATTCATTCTAAAAAATATTAGCATAGTAAAAAATACTAATGCAACTGTAATGACAGAATTTGACCTTAAAGAACAAAGGCAAAGTGGAACTGCTAAGTTGTGGAGGCCAGGACAACATGCGCACGGAATTGAACAACAAAACAGCTATCACCAGAGTAACAGGAAGCACGGCGCATAGCACAGAGCACAGTGTTCAGGACTGTATCCCCTGCAGCCTCCCCATTCACCCGTCCTAGTGACCTCCCTGACTAACCGCTGGTCCCACAAACCATGAATGTATCCACAGCTCCACATCTGCAGATTCAACCAACCACAGAACAAAATAATTCAAAAAGAACATTTGTGTCTGCACTGAACATGTACAGGCTGTCCTTGTCATTATTTCCTACACAATGCAATTCATGGCACTTACATTGTATTAGGTATTGCAAGTAATCTAGAGACGATGTAAAGTATGCAGGAAGACATAAGTCATATGCAAATACCGCATGGTTTATACAAGGGACTTAAACATCCATGGCTTTTGGTATCTTTAGGAGGTCCTAGAACCAATCCCCATGGATTGTAGTCATCAAAAGATGGCCACACTGGCAAAAGTCATACATGAACCAATGCTACATCTGTGTCCTAATGACGTCATCCCTGCATCTTCCAACCACACTTAAGCAAGTGCATTCAGGGAAGACCCCGGAAAGCAAACAGGATGTGTGTTATGTGCAAGAGGCTCATTGTCTGCCGAGAGGACAGAGGAGTAAATCAACGTGAGATGACTGTCAGAAAAAAGAGAGGTACGCAGCTGATGCATCACTCCAGGTGTGGTACCTCGAGCTCCCCCAGCTGCTGGCATGGAAGGCAATCTCATGGCATCGTTAGGAATAACAACGTGAGGTTTCCAGCTGCCTGGATTCACAATTGGCCTCTCCTGGGAGATCTTAACCCAGTCACTCTGTGCTCTGTGTGTCTGTATCATTGAAGACAGAGGTAACAACAATGGTGTTTATCTCTTATGTTGAGTAATAAATGAAATAGTGCATGTAATACACTGAGCATGGTACAGGCAGCTCTCAGAGCCATTGTCTGCTCTGCCTCTGCCGGCCATCAGAACATTCTAAAGGTGGGGAGTCCACAGAACTTTCTTTCTGTGCCTGGCCAGAGCAGGTACCTCCCAATGGTTAGATAGCAAATGGATTCTAATAGGTATGAATGAGGCCTCTGAGAATCTCCAGGTGCTTACCACATGGTGAAGGCAGCGGAACTGTGACCTGAACTTCCCTGGTGACAGCACCAAGCCTCTGAGAAGGTGACTGCTTGCCTAAGGCCCTCAGCTAGTTGTAGAGTTGACAGCCTATGAACCCTCTGTGTTCTGACAAGGGCCATGGACACTGTGTGCCTGCAGAGCCCTCAGCCAGGGTCAGGCTGGGCTAGATCACTCAGTCTCTCCATGCACTAGAATATGGATTTAAATACACCTTCTAATTCTGACCCCTCGGTGTTTCTCACACTTCATATCCCATTAGCTTGACACGCCTACAAAATACTCCTATGTGAGACAAGATGTGGTTATTTTTAAACTGCGTTTCAAACCATTATGTGTGGGGAGATGTATTTTTAGAGCACTGACTTTAACTGTGTACCTGGAGCAGTCAAATCACAATGCTGGTGGCACTCGGTCTGGAAGATACAAGCCACAAGGGGTCCCTGACACACTGCAGGCTACACTCCACTCTCTCTGGGTATCCCTAGGTAAGAGGGTAGGAGCCCTGAGGCTGAGGGATGGCTGGCCCAGCCTGGCTATGAAAGTAGCAACGCCACACTCTAAGACCAGGTATGGAGACTACCCCGTGAGAGGCTTTGAGGTAAATGATGCAGAGAAAAATCCCATAAAACCAGTAGCACCAATATGGCTCCCAACCACCCCCTTTTCTCTACCAAGTGAAAGCAAGAGAGTGGGTTCTGCCCCTGCAATCATGGGGGGAGGTGCTCGGTTGTTCCCTAGGCTGTGCTTTCCATGAGTGAAGAACATGGATGGCATGAAAGATGACCAGAGAATCAGGACTGGATGACCAGTCCACCAAGAGACCCGGGAAGGCAGGCCAGTGATCACACATCGTCCGTCCAACTTCAGCCAGGCCTCTGACGACATCCTCTGTGCACGTGATGTGTTGCAGGTGCTATGTGGGCACTGGAGGATGGGTGAGGACTCCAGACACCAGCAGCATGTGGGCTGATGCTCTAGGAGCAGGGGCCCAGATAAAACCCAAGGAAATGAGTAGAAGAACCTAAGCCAACGGCCACTCCAGCAGGGAACTAAGAAGGGATCCATCACCCAGGGCTGAGCTGGGATTTTGTTCAAACAGCAAATGGAAGCTACCAGAGGCCTTCAGCTGAGGAGTGAGATGACCCGCAAATGTTTTAAAATTACAAATCAACTAATTTCACCCTTCAATTGACCCTGTGTGTGCTCGGCCCTCGTTTTTCCAATAAGGCAGCTGGGGCTCACAGAAATAATTGTTCCAAAGTTCTCAAAATCTAGAAACATCCAGGCCAAGACTTAAGCCCAGCCTCTGACTATGACATCTGTGAATTAGGGTTTAAGTTTAGGGCTAAGAAGCCTTCCAGTTTTTGTCGGAAGGCATGGATAAACATAGTCACTTCTTCTTTAAAGGATAAGCTCATTTATAGAGAAAGCGTTCAAGGCACCAGATGACAGACCATATGCATAAAGCTGCTTGACATGTCCATTTGAACCTAGCCCTGTGTCTCAGGGGTCTGGAGCCTATTCCAGGGTTCCTGGGGCACTTGGGGATTAACAGTGGTGACCCTCTGGCCAAACTCAGACACTTCATGTGTTCACCCTTTTGTAAAACACAGAGGGTTTAGGATTTTTTTTTAAGTTTCCAGTTATACACATCCAAATGTTTCTGAACAGCTGGTTTTTTTTTTTAAAGAGATTTACAAACATTCTTTGGTTTACCATTAGCACTGCAAATGTTCTATCTGACATCCTCTGAACTAGCAATGGTACAGGCTGTGTGGTTTGAAGTCCATCTGATGGGGGTGGGGGTTTGGGCAACGAGGCAAAGCAGAAGCTCAGTTCAGGTACCCCTGAGCCCATATGCTCCCTTGAAATAGACCTCAGCCACTCTTGCCCAGCAAAAGTGGCCACACCTGCACATGTACAGTGACCACTGGGGAGTAAGGAGTCTATATGCCACTCTGAAGCAGTAGCCTGAGTACAGTTCTGATGGCCTCCTTGGTGCCAGCATGGAAGGACCAACTCCTTTCCCAGGTAAAGGCAGTAAATGTGGGGAGAGGGTTTGAAACGTACACAGGGTTATAGAGAGGCTGGGGAAACAAAATTAAAAGTGGGCACTATTAGAGAATCACAGGATGGGGCACATCTAATGGTAGAAGGTTGAGAAGGGCTGGGCCAGAAGGAGCTAGGGTAGAAGGAAAAGCGTCAGAGTCAGGTTGGCAGAATAACAGCTCTACCCCAACCCCAATCCGATGAGATGTCCACATCCCCAGAACCTGTTCACACATCAAGCAAAGAGGAACAAAGGCTGCAGGTGGAAGTAAGGCTGTGTGAGGAAAGAGGGTGATCTTGGGCTATCCAGATGGGCACGATGTAATCAAGGTGAGGGAAGGAATCAGAACAGAGCAGCAGGGAGACAGCAGTATAAGAAGGCTCAGCTCAGAATATTACTGCTGACTTTGAAGGACAGTCAGGATCCAGGAGCAGGACGGCCTCTAGACACCAGAAGAGAAGGAAACAGATTTTTCCCTGAGTCTCCAGAAGGAACTGGCCCAGCTGAGGACTCAATCCAGCCAGTAAGACCGCTGTCCTCCAGAACTGTAAAAGAATAAATGTGTATTGTCCGAGAGGCCAACTTTATGCTAAGTTGTTTCAACAGTGATAGGAAGTTCCTGCCACAGGTCAGGAGGGGTTTGCCTTGCATGGCATGGTGGGGGAAAGGGGTGCCTAGCAGGGGAACCTGATGAGAAAAAGCATGGAGTCAAGGATTGAATGGTGCACAGAGTGTGTGGGAGGAGCTTACTGGAGAGGGAGACAGCAGTAAGGGCCAAGGTCACGGTAGCCCTGGAGGCTCAGGGAAGGAGGCCATACATGATGTGTCCAGTCCTGGGCACCACTAAAGATTTAACCTGGAGGAAGACAATGGACCTATCCTGGCCAGGTAGGCATGGTGGAGTGAGAAGAAATGAGCAGGGAGGCAAGGGAAGGCCAAGGCTATTCCCCTCCTGTATTACATCTCTGAATCACTTCTCCTCCTATCACACTCACAGGTTCTCCTCGCTCTGCCTCTGCCCTTTGTAGACAGAGGGCATGAGAAGGAGAGGGTGCTCAAGAGGCACATGAGGACGCATGTGGGTCCATGAACTGGTGGCTGCACTTTACTAATATCTGTCTTTGGAGAAGACAGGTCTTCTTCCACACACTGGTGATGACTCAGCAGTGCCCCCTCACTGTGGGAACTGGAATTGTACACTTTAAATGCCATGCATGGTGCCCAAGGTGAGCTTGGCAACCCTCTAGGTGTCTGTGACCTTTGTGATCAGCAGTGCAACCACAACGCATCCAAAGCACTGGTACCTGGATGTTGAGTCTCCCACGATGTGCTCCCAGGCCATAGCGCTTCGTTGTGGAGGCATGGAGCTGGAAGTCTGTGATTTTTAAGGTTTCTAGGCCAAGAGGTGGGCAACCTAGGAAAGACAAGGCTTGTTAGAAACAAAGACCGATACAGAAATAAATAAGCTTCTGGTTTTCTAAATGTACTTTACCTTTTTCTCCCGAACTCTCAGCTACCAGCATGGCCCCCACCCCTAGCCTGCCCCGTCTTTCCAGGTAGGTATGGTCAAAGCAACTGTCAACATTTTCCAATTTTCTCCCTCATTGGCATTTGCTTTCTGTGTATGATAGCTCTTGTATTCTGTCTCTGTTATTATCCTTGCTACCATCTCAGGCTGTTTCCAATTAAGGACCCTTCCACAGTGAGATTCGGCCAGGAAGCATCACTTGGTAGGAATTACAGGACAATCCCATGATGGCACTCTGCAAATTAATCAGAATTTGTTGATTTTGCTTCAGCAACTCTGACCTTCATGCTGTGCATGCTGATGAGCAGAGTTATACAAACAGAAAAAAATCTATTTTCTTCTCTTCTTGCCATAATTTTGAGGATAGCTACCAAGCACAGTTTGCCCCTAGAATAAAACAACAGTACTTAGGCAGGCCCTTGGTGTCCACCCAAGTCCAGCCCACCATCCTTACACATAAGAGTATTAATACCAGACAGGGATGGACCCTAGACCTCCTAGGCCTGGTCTGCTATTCTAACCCAATGACCTGACATTGGACTGGCATGTCTCAAAGTGAAGCCTTCTCTTTGCTATCTGACTTGGAGAAGGCAAGTGAAAACTCCCAAGTAGAAGTGAATAAAGCCTGCTTCTACCACAAATATTAGACAACCCCAAACGTAACACAGGCAAATGCAAACAGCTGGGTGGGTCATAACAGCCAGGTGATAAGGCTACACTCCTTCTGCAACGAAAGGGCTGGAAGCCTAGGCCCAGAGTTATGAGGATGTGCTTGTGGCAAGCGCAGAGTTTCACACAGCTGGAAAGTGCCACATCTGACAAGTGTCCACTCTTGCACACTCTTTATAAGGGTGTCATAGCAGAAGCCAGAAAATCTGCTCCCTCCGTACACAGCAAGACTAGAGGAGTCTTTGGTGGGAGCCCAGATAAACAGATACACTCAGCCAGCCTGGAGAAGTCATCTCCATGAAGCCAGCAGTCTGACACTGGGGATTTTTTTCCTTATTAGAAGAAGCTATCTTTAGATATCTAGTTTTGTTTGGAAGACTTTTCCATTGCCCATGCCATTTAAAAGCATCTAGAGATGGGTCCCCACTGAGAGAACACAATGTCCTTGAAAGGCAAAGACAGAGCTACTGACCCACGTGGGTTGGTGAGTGTTCTTTGGTTATAGGAAACCAACAATGGCCAGCTGGAGTCACCAGGAGATAGGCTGAGACTCACAGAGGGCAGGTCAGGGCCACAGAGATTTCATCATTCAGGTGGCAGAAGCCTCCATACTGTGTGCTACCAGGGGAATGGACTGACTTCAAGGGCATTTCTTCCTGTCCAGAATCTCCCTCCAGATCCTAGACACCTCATTTAGCTGCCTGCCTATCCACTGGGACTCAGGGTGCTGTCATCAAAGCAAGGGGAACAGAAGCTGGACACAAGTTCACGACCAACATGGAACCTGGGACAGGCATATGGAGTTACCTGCCCAGCACGGAGGGTGAACATGGGTTACGTGCAGGCCTTGTCCAGCTGGGCCATTACAGGTTCTCCCAGCTCCTCCTCTTGCTGCCATACTTGAGGACAGTCCTTGCCTCCTTCCCACTTTCTCTATCCATCTTTCTTGGATTTTTGCATCCTGTGCTCTGGCATGTATCTATTCACTGTGGCCCTGGTCACTCAGTGGCCCTTCCAGACTCCCTGCCTCTCCCTGGTCTCTTTGATACTGGACTACAGAGTCCTTTCAGCTTCTTCCTCACCTCCACACCACCCAGCCTGCATTCTCAAAACAAAGTGTTTCTTTCCCCTTCTTCCTTCTCAGACCACCACTTTGTCCTCTTTGGACATTTCTCCCCATACTCCCATCTGAGGGGGTGTTTTCCCTCCCTGTATCACAGGACTGTCACCTTCCTCCCTCCTGTTCCCTTTAACGATCTATGCTGGGCATCCACTGCCTCATCTACTAGCCATCACGGGCACCATCTACAAATACACAGGAATTTGCAGCTCAGGCCTTCATGTGCTATTCTGGAGACCAACCTGCGGGCACCAAGCAGATATCAGCAGCCCTGGTGGCCCCAGCAGTTGTGGCTGTGAGGCTGCAGCTGAAGTAGTGATCCCACTGGTCTCTACTGTCTGTGACTGCAGAATCCCACCAAGGCTGAAGCTCCTTCCTCATCCTCGGCCTTCTGTCCCCACACACTCAATGACAGAAGCCCTTAGCAAGGGTCACAGAGATACAGTGCCATGTCATCTTCCCTCAGAAGTTTCTATTTCATCAATCCCCTGCTCTTTACTCCTTCCTTTGGTAGCCTCCACCCTTCCCTTCCATCACATCACTGCTTTACACTGTCGTCTGTCCCTAGACCCATCTTAACATTTTTACTGGAAGTCTGACACAAGAATGTCCACATTTAGAAAAAGGATAGGAAAGTAAGAGCCAGGAAAATTATCTTTTTATTTAAATTCTAAGTTACTTCAAACTACAGAGTACTGAAATGTTCTCCATATTAAATGGCTGGCTCTGATGAGTTTTAATAGTTTTCAACTTGATTCGTTTTCCTCCCTTTCTTCCTACTCTGAGAACACCACCCTGAAGATTTTTGGTCCACTGGATGTTCAAACTGAGCAGTGAGAAGCAACTCTCCTGCCCTTCATCTGCAAAGTTCTGTGCATCGGGAGAGAAAACAGTGGGGGACAATCTAAGAATTGCTGCAGAGTGCTCAGCTGCTCAGGAGAGTGGGGAGAGCCAATCTTAAACACACAGAGGGGTCTGGAGGCCTCAGAGCAGCACAAGCAAGGGGGCACCCTGTGCCACCATAGTACTTCAGATAACCTGAAGTCCCCAGTCCTGCAGAAGAACTCTATCGTTCTATTCCCAGAGCTGCCAAAAGCTAGAGAGGAATGCAAAAAAAAAAAGGAGCTCTCTCTCAGGTCAACACCTTAGGCTGCTCCTGGTCCCTGAAGTGACATCTTTAGGACTTCAGACCACACTCTTGACTTTTGACTGCAGCCACAAAAGAGGCAGCTGCTAACAGTACAACCCCAAGGCAGTTCTCTGCAGCAAAAGCAGCCAAGCAAAATCCACAGTGTGAATAAAGAGGATTCCAGAAACCTCCACATCTGTAAACCAGAAACCTAGAAGAGTGGACAAAGACAAAGGGAACATTCCCAGATATAGTCCCTGGCCTGTCTCTGACTGCCAGGAGATGACCAAAGAGCAAGCATCAGACTAGTATGAAGTGTCCCAATGGCAATGAAAAGAAATTAGAATATAGAATTAATTGCTAGCTAAATTACAGTCAACAGTCAAGGGAATTAAGGACATCTTCAGATACGTGAATACTGAGAAAACCAACCCCTTCCCACCATAAACATAGACCCCTCCTGAGAACTCTGCAATAGTGTGCCAGAGACAAGTAGACACACAGACACATGTCTTGCTGGGGACAGCATGAACACCATGGGGACAACAAAAGAACACCAAGCGCAACGGAAAGCCAGCAGAGGAAGACAGAATTCCTTTGGTTGTAAATTTTCTCTTTTAAAAATTTTATTGGCATATAATATTTGTATAGGGGACACTGTGACATTTATATATGTGCCTACGATATATCTAATATATATTACAGCACATCAGTGCCAAACAGCCACCACCAGCTTCTTAGGACAGCCTCCTGCTCCTCCATAAAAACAAGCAAACAGGGCTTTGTACCATCAAATCGAGTTTCTCTTGCTTCTGGGAAGAGAAAGGCTCTAGCCCTGAGAAGTATGCGGGTAGGAGAACATGAGGAAAGGTGTGAAAAAACCTTCAGGAAAATATTAATTAGAGATGCATCACAATCTGGAGGAAAAGAGAGTGACAGTAATCAAGGATGAACCTTCCTTCTCTTCAGGCACCTGGCTCTCTCTCTCTCAGAACACCCTGTGCTAAGCAGCGTCCCATCTCCCAGCTCTGGATACAATTCTTCAAGAGGTGAAGATGGGTCCCCCGGCTTTGACCTTCCCTGTCCTCCAATGCACACCTCATCAGATCTGTCCCTCACTAGCATTCTCTGTACAGCAGCCACTTTACACAGGGAGATCACCACCCTGGTATATACCCATCAGTCCTCAGGGTCCTACCAATACCACCGTAAATTACCACAGCTCTCAAACAAATTTCAAGTGTCTGTTGCCTTTACTATCACAGAGGTCTTTGTGACCCAGAAGGTGCATGAAAACAGTCAGAATACAGCATATAAATTCTGAATCAGGAGCACCAATCCCAACAATCTACTCCAAATCCCAAATCTGTCCAGTATGTAATAGGCTGGAGGGGAAGCTGCTATGAGAGGCAAGTCATAGAAAATATTTTAAAGGCTAGTGATTTGGGGGTTAATGTGCACATCCTCTGGAAATGTCTTCTTACTCACTCCTCACCATGACAATGAAACAGAACATTATCACCCCATCTTACACACAGACAAACTAAGACTTGGGGGAAGCTCACCTGAGTTAAAAGATAGCTACTAAGTGTCCAAGACCAAATTTGAAAAATCAAGTGTGATGTAAGATTACAAGAATAATCTTTATGCCACCTCCATCTGACTTAAAAACACCAAAGTATAATTCAAATGCAAGTTGCTTGGTGGGATTTACAGTCACACTAGGAAAGAGGGCTGGAGCTGGGACAGGCATCACTGGTTGGCAAAGGGAAGCTCAGAGTCCAGGCCTGGTGGCCTCAGGCCTAGTGGCCTTCTGTGGTGCCCGCTGGAAACAGAGCAGAAAATGCTCAAGGACATGGACGGCACTATGGAAACAAGCTCCTAGCCCTCTTCAATTTCTAATTTCAGGTCACCTATAAATCAAAAAGCTTTGACCTACAGAATTCCTTCCTTCACCTTTCTGAACTT